TTGTTGTAGTGACGTGAGACGGAGGAGTGTCTCTAGGAGGGACAGAGAAGTACGGATGTTATTGAAATGAGGGTTTGAGACTGTAGTTGTAGCTATATGCTGAGAAGAGGGCGACTCTCCTAAAGCTCCATGTCTAGACGGTGTTGCATCTGAATCAAGAGAAAGTTTCGCCATAAGCTCTGGATCGATGGATCCCGCCTTGGCTGAGGATCTGGGGTTCTCGTCATCGAATTCTGAGTCTGATTCGTCATCTTCATTGTAAACCTCGAACGCGATCCACTCAGGGTCAAGGTCCCTGGGAAGGCGCCATTCTTCTGGTATTGAGCTCTCGTGAAAGTTGGGATAAGTGGATGGAGCGCCTGCCCCATTTAACTGGGCATCCAGTTGTGCCTGAACCTCATCTACTTCCTCCTCGTCTTGATCAGAGTCTTCATTTGAATAACCGAATGCCTCCTCCCTTTCGACCATACGCCGTGGAGGTATAGCATTTATATCTCTCTTCAGGAGTATTACCGGATTGTTAACCTCGCCATCGGGGCTGATATTCAGAATTTTCCCAGTGTCGGCATAGAAGATCTTCGAGATCTGGTGTATTGGAAGAATCTCGCGCACACCAGCGGACACGACACCTTCAAAAGTCTGAGGCTGAAGCTCATCATCTTCAAAAGTATGGACCCTTCCATCATCTAAATCCTCTATAATCAGGAGTTGGTAAGCATACTCATCTACCCTTGCTTCGGCGGCGATTTGCGTGCGCGGTAGCTGTGTTTGGGGATTGACAGCAAGGTCCATTGGCACTCGTCGAAGTTTCAAGCGTGCTTTATGCATGACCTCTTTCCACGTTGTTTCACGAATGCCGTCTTCGTCGTGGGGCCGGAGATGACTTGCGAAAAGCATGTACATTGATAGAGTAAAAGTAGGACCAATCTGGACCGCTTGAGAAGGGGACATTGAGTACTGGGTATCACCAGCGGTAAGAAATGTACTGGCCTGCAGCAACCGGGATGGTGATATAGTCGCTGGGAGATTAGTTGATAATTTGGCGCCGGAGGTAGTGATGGCAAGATTCATAAGCGGCACTGCATCCTCGATTCGCACTAGAAGTCTCCTGATGTCCTTCATTATGGACTTGATCTCTTCATCATTTTGAGAGCGACTTCTTGAGGACTGGCCCCCCTTTCGAATTACTTCTTCAGTCGCAGCAGCATTCGCCAATCGCTGGCCCAAGGCCTGAATATCCCACCGTAAAGATTGTGTGAGAGAAACTGCGGACTCAAGGGACGTGTTTCCTCGTGCAGCACTAGGCAGAGTCAGAACTTAATCCAAATTCAAATAAGTCTGGATTACCAACATTAGCTCGATCATGTCAATAGCAGGTGAAATAACCTGTCCCTCGCATCAGCAAGTGTGTTAGGATCAGCTGAAATCATACATCCAGAGTACTTTACCTGGATCTTGCTTTCCAGCCGCTGTTGTAGTACAAGGAGCTCTTCGCGTTCTTCGACATTCTCGACATTCTACCATCGAAAGGTCAGCTTGTCCGAATACTTGAACACCTAGCTAGCGACCAGTATGATCATTATCGCTTACTTTAAGCAGCCGCGACGACTGGCGGATAGCATATTTGGCTGTTATGGCGACTCCGGAGCTAAAATATTAGATAGATTAGTCTATAAGACAGACATTGTCATCTCAGGGCAGTGTACCTACCGAATGGCATAGTTCATAGCCTGATGAGTGAGCTACCAAAGATGGAATCTGGATTAGTTTCAGGCATCGCACACAAGATGTGTAAAGTCATAAGAGCATACTCTGGTCAAGAATGCATCCATATTGCAACCACAATGCCGTATGGCGCCTAGCTTCAATTAATGTTTCCTTTATGTCTTTCTGCATCCGTTAGGCAACCCAATCTCAGATTGATTGCCAATATCAAAATGTATTGTATGTGGCGGACAACGTTCGAGGGGTTTGCGTTGCTTATCGATAACAGACTCTCTGTGATTGACAATCTGTAAGAGAAGATCATGCGCGAGCTGTACGCCACCAAAATCTACGCTCTTAGCGATTCCTCCAGAATAGGACGCTACTGAGTAATATTCAATATCATCGCGAAACAGCCAGAGTACTCCGTATGGCCAAGGTACATAGTTTACAATCCCCCCAAGCAAACAATGCAAAAGTCCCCTGATTGGGCGAAGGCGGGGAAGAGCCCGTTTTATCGCTGAGTCAGCGGCTGCAAAATCGACGCTTTCCAAAGGCCCCTCACTATCTAAACTACTCTTCACTCGTCAACTTTTAGATCCACCTCCAGACTATCTCTTCTTTCTTTTTGATAGAGACGTGTTTGGTTTGTTCGCCTTGTTTTCTGCTCTTCAAATCTAAACATGGCCGGCCAAACTCCGGAGTCCTGGGAGGATGAACTCTCCCAGCAGACTGAGGGCGTCAACTTGAACGCACAGTCCCGACCACAAGCCCAAGCTCCCTCTTTCCGTCCAGGAGTGGCCTCTTTTCAACCAGGAGCCGCTTCTTTCGTGCCCGGCCAGTCTTTCCAAGGGTACGGCGGCTTCCCACAGTACGGGGCGCAGTATGGCCAGCAAGGCTATGGCGGTTACCAATATGGCCAACAGCAGCAGGCATATGGTCAGTATGGAGCCTATGCTCAGCAGCCTGGTGGCTACAACCAATCTTACAACCAGCAATATGGCGGTTACCAGCAACCACAGCAACAGCAACAATTTGCTCAACAGCCACCCCAAGCTACGCAGCAGCCCAAGGCTGTTGAATCCCAGCCTGCTCAATCAGCGCCCAAGCCTGCCGCCGCCGCTCCTAAGGCTAAGGTTCTGTCTATCGGTGGCGCTAGCGACTCTCCTGCTGCCCCTAAGACCAAGGTTCTTTCGATCGGTACACCCTCTCCTGCTCCTGCGTCGAAAACACCATCTTCGGGATCTGCGACTCCCGGAGACTCCAAGGGACCCGATGCTGCTCAGGCAGCCGCCAAGGTGACGGCTACTAAGGCTATTGAGAAGACGGAGAAGAAGGCAGAACAGAAGGCTGCCGCCAGCGGCAAATCATCTCCTGCTCCTGCGTCGGGTCGCTCTAGCCCCGGAAGAGCCAGCCCTTCCCGAGCTGAAGTTGCTAAGGCTGCCCGTGCTGCAGATGCCGTTGCCAAGGAGCAACAAGCCGATGTTGACGAAGCTACGTTGAAGGAAATTTACGGTGAGAAGAAGGAGCACGTGAACATCGTGTTCATCGGACACGTTGATGCCGGAAAGTCTACTCTGGGTGGATCCATCCTGTACGTCACTGGAATGGTGGATGAGCGAACATTGGATAAGTATAAGAGAGATGCCAAGGAAGCCGGTCGTGAGACTTGGTATCTTTCCTGGGCTTTGGATTTGACGAACGAAGAGCGAGCCAAGGGAAAGACGGTCGAGGTTGGCCGTGCTCACTTCAAGCTTGATGTGGAGTCGCCTGACGGACCTGTTGAGAGACACTTCTCCATTCTCGATGCTCCTGGTCACAAAGCATACGTTCACCACATGATTGGCGGTGCTTCACAAGCTGATGTTGGTGTTCTGGTTATCTCCGCACGAAAGGGTGAATACGAAACTGGATTCGAAAAGGGTGGCCAGACTCGTGAACACGCTTTGTTGGCGAGAAACACAGGTGTCCAGAAACTGGTCGTTGCTGTCAACAAGATGGACGACCCTACTGTGGAATGGAGTCAGGCTCGTTTCAAGGAGTGCACGGTCAAGGTCTCGAAGTTCCTGGAGGCCCTCGGCTACAAAAAGGATGATCTTACCTTCATGCCTATCTCCGCTCAAAGGACATTCGGTATCAAGGATCGTGTCCCTAAGGACCTTGCGCCTTGGTACGATGGCCCCTCCCTTTTGGAGTACCTGTCCAGCATGAAATTGCCCGAGCGTAAGATCAATGCACCATTCATGATGCCTATTACCGCGAAGTATCGTGACATGGGTACCATGGTGGAAGGTCGCGTTGAATCCGGTGTGGTCAAGAAGAACGGCAATTGTATCATTATGCCCAACCGCACCAAGGTTGAGATCACAGCTCTCTATGGAGAGACTGAGGATGAGATCCCGACAGCCACTTGTGGTGACCAAGTCCGCATGCGTCTTCGTGGTGTGGAAGAAGAAGATCTCCTTCCCGGATTTGTACTTTGCTCTCCTAAGCGTTTGGTGAACTGTGTGTCGAGCTTTGAGGCCAAGATTAGGATTCTCGATCTGAAGAGCATTCTCACTACCGGTTATAACTGTGTTATGCACGTTCACTCAGCCGTTGAAGAGGTTACAATCTCCGCCCTGCTGCACAAGTGCGAGCCTGGTACGGGCCGCAGGAGCAAGCGCCCACCTCCCTTCGCCAGCAAGGGCCAGACTATCATCGCCCGTCTTGATGTCACTAGCACTGCTGGTGCCGTCTGTGTCGAGCGTTTCGAGGACTACAACCAAATGGGACGGTTCACTCTGCGTGATCAGGTAAGCAGCTGTACTATATACTAGTTGACTAAAAAGCTAACCAGTTGGAACTTTAATAGGGACAAACCGTTGCCATTGGTATGATCACCAAGCTCATCAAGACTGAGGAAGAGAACTAAGCATACATAATCACAAATAAAACCGGGCGACTTCTATCTCAGTCTTCTTGACCCTTGGTGGGTTACGGCTGCAATTGAACCGACTACGGTCAGGGAGGTATGGGTGGGCAGAAGGTGGATGAGAAGATCCACAGACTTCTTCTCGGTTGATGATGATGAAATTTTCCTTTCTTATAGATTGTTTTTTCCTGCTGTTTCTTTGCTGGATGGTAAAAAATTTGCTTGGACGTTTCACGCCGGTTTACATTACATGTAGATATCCACGTATATCCATCAACGCATCAAATCATGAAGTAATACCCATATGGACATGCAGAAAGTATCTATATCTAAACAGCTCGTAGCAACCAAAACACGGAACGAAGATAAAAAGAAGGATAAATCAACGCTTCTTCTTTCCAACAACCTTAGTAAACCCATCCTCATCCACCTCAGGTTCAACCTTCTCCTTCGGAGCCCTAACCAAAGCAGGAGCCTCCCCCATATCAACATCCTCCTCATCCTCCTCATCATCATCCTCAGAATCCTGGTCCTCATCCTCGCCCCTCTTAAAAGCCGCCGCAACATTACTAGCCTTCTGCTGACTCTTCGTCTGGTAGTTCTCCCACATCTGCTTAATAGGACCGATATCGCCTTTCGCCACCAACTCCCTCACCTCCATAATCTCAGCCGCAACAGGCACCGCGCTCTCATCGTCAATAACCACGTCAAACTCATCATTCATAACCTGGATGAGCACGTCCTCGAGATCCTCCGCATCCGTCTCCGGCCGATCATTCAGCATGTCAGAAATGGCACCGCAGAGCCAATCGCGCTTATCGGATGACGTTGGGCCGCCCCAGTTCGACTGTACGGCTAGCGTGAGAGCGGGCCAGTTGTGGATTGCGAGCGTAATGCCGAGGTCGAGGTAGGAGGGGTTCGGCTGGTTCTCTTGTTGAGACATTGTGGCGCTTTGTGAGGATTTCCTGTGACTGGTACTTGGGAGAAGTGCTGGCGCGGATTTAATTTCTTAGTGGGGGTGTGGTTTTTGTTGGTTGCGGATTTATATAGTGGGGTTGGATATGCTTCTTGGTGTTTGCTGGTGCGCGGTGTGTTAGTTTCCGTTTTTTATTGGTTAGGTATGTTCGCTATGGTGGTATCGGTGGACTGAGGGCTTGTGGGAGTGTGTATGGCCCTGTGAGATGAGCAATGGAGGTTTGGGGTGTTGATGTATAAATCTTTGAATTTTTCGATATCACTAGGAGATTAGATACGATAAGCGGATTGTGGTCATGTGATCACATATATAGTGTCGTTGAGTTGATGATGAATGTTCAGGGGTGTTCGGGATAGAATTGGGAGACTATGATTAGATAAGGAGAGTTAGAGGTACTGTGATCTATTAGAAGAAGAATTGTGTGATATTGAAGTTGCCAGGCAGTTGCTGTCAAGTTTAAATGAAAAAAGAGCTCAATCTAAAGCGTGCTGTATATGAAATATATCCTAGTAGATGTGCCACAAAGCTGTAGTTCAAAAACCAGGTATGCTTTCCCGCTCCACATGCAATGAAGAATAACAACACCTGAAGCGCTTTGATGCAGAAATATTTGAATAATACATAGAGAAGAGGGAAAAAAAAACAAGGTACGCCTGGTATATCCAATCTTGTGAGCGCCAAACAAGAGCCGCTTATGTACAGAAGCTAAAAGGAACCCAATAAACTTTCAACGCCACCCATTGCCGTTGAACATGGTATCAAATCAGTCACAAATCACAAAACATGACTTAACAGTTCCTGTGCTCTTACTGCTGTGGCGATGTGCCAAGGTAATGTGTTTCGTTGTACAGTGCGGGTACCCCTGGCTCGAGCAAGGGTGCCGAGATCACGGTACATTCCTAGGGTTTCTCGAAGAATTGTTTCGCAGGAAGAAGGTCGTTGGGTATATATAAGGTTAAGGGTCATCGCATATACACCGTCCCCGTCGGTGTCTCCCTTTCGGCGAAGTAGGTAACCGCTAGCCAATGCTGGTCGGTACTCGGTGAGGTGAGGTGAATTGTTGAGGCGATGGGAGAGTACCACGCCCCAGGATTCATCGCATATATCTGTAAGCACGGATTCGGATTCCGCTTCCAGAGTAGGTTCTGTGGGTGTTGAAGCATTTGCAGGCGCATTCCCGCCGCTGGGAGGGGTAGGCGCAGTGCCCCATTGATCCGGCGAGAAGACGTTGCCACTAGCATTTGGTGTAGCAACGGGTGTTGAGGAGGTCTGTGGATTAAAGACGCTCATAGACATGGGTAAGAACGGAGGCTCAATGTAAAGATCGGGAGCAGTATTTACGCTCAATATCGTCAGCTCTAATGGTATGGAGTTTGCCTTGTTATACTGCTCGATAAAACCCGTCCATGCTGTGAATGCAAATCAGCGGAATGTACGTAAGACATTTTGGCGACATCCTTACCATCAACTTCGTCCTGATCTACAGGCTCAGTGCTCACGACGAAAACCTTCCATCGCGCTTGAATTCTATCCACGATGTCCTTTGTCGCCACCCAAATCTCGCTACGCACATCCGAAATGCTCCTAACAGCACTGGCATTTCGGTAGCGTAAATTATAAGAAATTGTACGCTGGAGTGCCCCAGAGTTGTCAGACCAGGCAACACCTATCCAGCGCTGATCTTGACTTTTTGAGTACGCAATATGAAGACATTTGCCTTCTTGCAAGGGTGAGGTTTTCTCAGAGGCGAGTCTAAAGCTGATCGTCCTAGGGAGAGGCTCGGCAAGAAGGACGGGAGGTGCGCAATTCACGAGACTCGACTGTAGTGCTTTGGGAGGGCATCGACTGTAGATTTCCAGTGCCAAGTTCAGGTACTGGGTTTGTGGAGGGACGACCACCGAGCCTGTTGACATTATAAAGCTAATTGGAATGATCTGTAGCACCACTTCATTCAACTGTCGGGCTTGTTGCTTGCCGGTGTCGGTGATATACTTTTGAAACAAACACCAGAAAGCAGAGCATATGTCGACGAGCGCCGATGCGTGTGCAAACGGATTGATTATGTAGATTACTAGGCTATCATTGCTTGGAGAACCTTTCAAAAGTGCCGTCCCTGTGAATGTTAGCACATGGTAAATATACGGCTCACCGGATCTCCAACGTACCGAGCTCTTCGCATATTACTTTTAAGGACTGCATTGCAGGCAGGAACTGTGCGGTATCCAAAGGACCAACGTCCCAGGAGCAAAGCCCCCATTCAAAGGCACTAGACCTACATCCCCGAACATGTTTTCCAAGGTTACAACTAGCGTAGAGCAACCCTAGACGTTCCAGGAATACATTGGCAGCATCGGCAGCAATTTGAGGATGAATACAATAAGCTGAGATATCCTTTGGGCCGTCGGCTGGTTCCAGGCCGAATGTTTCCCAAAATGAGATTGCAGGAGGCAGAGCTTCCAAGTATTCCTTGCCGCGACGCACGCGTAAATGTGGCGGAGACAGTTTTGTTATTAAACCTTTTCCCGTCTCTTTCCGTTGAGAGGGTTGTCGGGCTACGGTGCCGTTGGGTGCAGGAGAGGCTTGTTCATTGTCCTGTAGGGATATCCAACTATTCAAATCAAGCCTTTCAATGCTGCCCAATACACCTTCCTCTTCGAGGAAACTTTGAACTGAATATGCCTTGGCTTCAAGATCGGAGAGACAGAAGCCTCCATCCAGTTTATGGTCCAAAGAGGACTGTGTGATTTGGTCAACAAATAACTGGGCAATTTGAATTTGCATGTCTTTGCGGGTGAGAACAGGGAATAACCGATTTTCTGCTAATGAGAAATAACCGGTCATTGACCAATCAGAGAAAGTGGATAACAAATTTCCCAGGAATATTGAATGCTCAGGTCTATGGATAGGGATTTCCTGGTCTCCCTCCCCAAGAGACTTCACCTGAGATAAGGCCGGCGAGCTGACGGAGTTAGAACAGGCACGTTTTCGCTTGCGACTTAGCAACGGTGGTGCATCACTTTCCGAGGCACTATTATCACTATCGTCGCTTGTATCGCTGCTAGAATCCGAAACCGTTTGTAGATAATGACCTTCGCTTGATGGACTGGCGTGACCATCTAGGCCCATCGCGCTGGCGCCAGCGGTGGGGTATTTCTTAATGCGCCGGCGAGGCATACCGACAGTTGGAATATCGGAATTTGTGTACACTTTGGAAGCAGATGGGCCCGCAGTAGTGAATCGGAACTTGCCGTCAGCACCATACTTCTGATCCCAGGCAGACATATTTGGTTTGAATGCAACTGGGTTGTAATAGCTTTGCTTGCGGCTTCCTTTGGTGGGAACATGACTGTCCCCGTTGGGTTCTGGTAACAATATTCTCTTGATTTCCACTGGACTCAAAGGGGGACTTATTGTTTGATTTTGTTCAATATAAGGCGAGGCTGCCTCTGTGATTTCCTCTGCATCCAGGTGCTCATGTTGAACTTTTGGTGTTACCTCATCGGGGCTTGCTTGGGTTACTTCAAGATCTTCTGCTGGTGTTTTCTGAGCTGGGATATCTTCTAATATGGCATCTTCAGAGACGGTAGGATGTGCCTCTGCGGCCTCTAAGTTGGCCATGTCAGGCATCTCTTGAGCGTCATCAGCAGGGTCATCAGTATCCATGGCAGCGAAGCTAGGGTCATCGAAGAAATTGAAATCTGCATCGGTGATTCCTTTGGTGCCAAAGTCTCTTTCATCCATGTCTCCGAAGAGATCATCATCCTCATTAGTGTCGTATAATCCAGATCCTACCGCAAGCCCACCTAACGGGCCAAATCCCGCCGATGGGTCAGCGTCTGAGCGATCTTTAGCAGTAAACTGCTCGTAGTACTTTGGCTTGTTTTGGTTTTGTAAGAGGGATGGCACAAGCTCTGGTTCTTCAGCAAATGTGTCTGATGCGCCTGCTAGATTCAACCCCATCACAGCAGCTCCATCTGGTGGTGTCGGATATACGAGACTGATAGTCTGGAGATCAGGATACTCAGAAGCTCGGGATAGGCTTTCTATTCCCTCGAGAATGTCAGTAGTAGCAGAGGATGGTTCAGTGTTCCTTGATTGTTGTTCTGGATGACTAGACGGGGGTTTAGGACTTGTCTCATCATGCTTTGGCTTTTCCACTACACGCCAATTCTCTGCGAAATCCAAAGGATCGCTGACCACAGGGCAAGCACTTTCCATCCATTGTGAGGATCCAGGGGATGCTGACTTTGTTCTCCGAAAGCAATACACAGCAGGCCAGAGGACACGCTTCAAGGGAAGCGTAGATGAGTTATCCTCATTTAGCCGTAAAGTCTCCCCAGCTAACCTGGAGTAAAACGGTTCCCAAATTTCAATTTCTACCCAGGCTGTCTCATCAACAGTATCAATCGGCAGCCCAAAGTTCCTTAGCCAATCTAGCACGTTGGCTTTCCATTGCTTGCGTCCTGCAGCGCCTAAATTATCAGTACCAATGCCTCCCGTGGATGGATACGGGGATGAGGCATTAGGTGGACCTGGGCTGGTTGATACTAGCCTCGCAACAGAGCCGCTGGGTGATAACCAGATATCAGCTCCGGGAGCTATATCACATACGTCGGATGGACTTTCCCCAGGTCTGCATAGCGGGGCAATGCCATGCTGTGATGTTGTCTGCAAAGACACCGTTAGTTTCCCAGCCGAGGTCAATTGAACTTGGATTGTAGTCAGAGCAGAAATTGAAGAAAGATCATCATTGACTATTCTGGAGGTCTCGTAGTAATCCCTCTCGACGACAGTGAAGAGGGTCCGTGACCCTAGAGGAATCGCACTGCTGCGACGAATCAGTTGAAGATTAAGTGAGCCTGTTATGGCTGAAATGAAAGCTGCGTAGATTGCAACAGAGCTACTATAGCTATCAACCCGTCTCGTAGATGTGGGGGTAGCCTGTGGTCGTTGCGACCCGGTTGAAC